CAAACACTTTCTGGCATCGATCCTCTTTGGTTTACCCAACTTACTACTGGAAATTCGTTTGTATTTTAAGTAGTTCCCCATCTACTTAAACGCCTATCGATAAGTCGCGAATAAATAAATTCATTAAGTCTTTTTTCTAAAACTTTCTCGAGTAATCATAGAAATTCTAAACGTATTTGTTCTCGAAACTTTTGATTATTAAACAATCAATTTTTTCAACATCGAGCAGCCCCAAAAACTAAATTTGTATAATCATTTTGATCTCGATCTCCTCTTTGTTTGTTTACTATTTACGTAGGACCTAACACTTCCTATTGAAGAAAATTAGTTTACGATAGTTTGATTACTTATATCATTTTTTTGCTTTTTTCTTTTTTAATGATTCAAAATTATTTACTTTAACTTAGGACACACGAAGTTACTTAAATATCTGTAACACGCAAATGCTAGAGAGGTCATGAGAAATTGAATCCCAGAAGATTAAGAAAATCTCACATTAACATTTGAAATGCATCGACACTTGAGAGAGAGAGAGAGAGAGAGAGAGAGAGAGAGAGAAAGTGAAGAGAGAGAGAGAGAGAGAGAGAGAGATTGACATTTAATCCTATATATGTTACACGTTACGGCAAGATCTGTTGTCTGCATAACAGCAGAATTCAAAGAACTTTAGTCTTACAGCTGAACAAGACCGAAGGTCTGAGGGCGTTACGATGTACTTTAGAACGTCAGAAAATAATATTGTACAATGAATAAACATTCTTTTTCCCATCGGTATGGTTATATCAGTCCATTCAGGTACCTTTGACGTTGAAAACATACACATACACACGCGCGCGCTCGCGCGAGCCTGCGAAATCTCATATTCGCCTGTACACACACGTAAACGCATAATAAAACCGTTATGTACGCTCGCGAGCGCGCGCGCGCGCAACGGAGGAGCAGCGGGATTTGAGACTTCGTTTTCATCCCTCTTTTAATAATCGAACCTCCTCCCAATGGTCCAATCGGAAAGTTTCAATTACTATCAACGTCTGCTTCTTTCTATCGAATTTTCGAGATAGATTTCATACGTGTGAAACACACAGTGACATAGCGGAAAGAATTTGTAGAAAGAGAAGAAACGTATAGCCCAGTGAAATAATAGCTTTTAAACTTAAATGCATTGCTTATATTACATATGCTAAAAATTGCTTTGCACACTATCTTCTGTTACCGTATAAATATTTGCAAACCCAAGACAAACTAGGAACCACTTTCACGAAGAAAAGTGACAACGAAGGAAGTTAAAAGCGTAATAAAAATTGCTACATTATTTGTTCGACTCTTTCGTTTAGAATTTGCAGAACTCTTTATGCTCCTCTCAAATATCTGTATAGCGTAGTAGACTCGTTAATTGCATGTGGCGACACGCAATTATCGATCACCAATCGTCGATGGTATAAAAAAAAAGAAAAAAGAAAAAAGAACACCTTCCAATTAATAAACGGATCTGCTTCTCATCGGTTTTGAAAAAGAAAAGAAAAACTAAAATATTTCTAGTTATCGTTTATCCTGACAAATAGAATGTTTGATAAATTTGTAAGACCTTTGTCACAAAAACGAGGCTTATTTTTAATAACGCTTAGATATGACCGATTCTGGATATTTTAAGTTAGATGACGATGCATTTTCACTATTGTAATATCATCTACAATATGAACGAAAGAACTATACATAAAAATATATATGTTCTGTGAATCTAAATTATTTTCTCATTTTTTATCTTTAGAATATCATTATTGTAATAAGCAAGATTCTCCATGGAGAGGGTAAACCATCTAATATGTACACATTCAACTTCTAAATTATACATTGTTTAAATAACTGTGTATAAAAGTTGCATGCTTTACAAATTTCACGATTGAGTTAAATAGGAAATCATCTATTTTACAACTGTTGTCTTCCAGGTTTTAATTTAGGCCAATAAAAGATACTACATTTGGTCTGAGAGTGTTTATCATCAAGCAGAACAAAAATTTAACATTTAAATACAATTAAGAGAAACCCGTGAAAGAAGTTTCAAGAGCAAAATAATTTTTGAACTGGTATATGAGAGATATATTTGACATTCCAAAATTAACGTTAAAAATATTAAATCTATTCTATCATGAATAAGCATATTCCCATTTAAATCTGTTTAAAACTGCAAATATGGCTAAATCAAAATGATATTAAATGATAACAGAGTATATACAATTTACTAGATGTCTGATTATTGAATTCAAATTATATAAATTAATTTTAAGAAATAACATTCCCTGTGCAGGTGTTCTATTAACGACTGAAAATTTATTACATTTACTTATGCGTAGAATAATACTAAAAGAAACAATTGGGTTCAGAACCAAAAATGCCCCTTTCTAAAACTATGCAACAATTTTTCAAACAAAGTATAATCTAGAAGTTGTCCAACGTGTGCAAATTACAATCACCCTGTATCACATAAAATAGACTGATTAAGATCAGATTTGAATACATTTTTACTTAAAAAAAGAAGTCTTGTTAATATATTCAAAATCTTTTCACTGAGGTAGGATAAAAATTAAAACAATTTCGTTTTACATACAATGAAAACGATGATCCATTGTTCGTCAACAGAAAGTATAAACTGCGTGAAGTTTCACTTAGAAGTTCATTAGTTTGAATAATTCTAAAAAAAAAAAAAAGATGTAAATAACCTGTACACAAAGATTATTGAATTTCGTCACAGCGCAATTAACGAATCCTTACTGTACTAATGACTAATAAATTACTGTTACAATTGAACTTATTTTTCTGCATTTTTCGGTTGATGCCATTAAACACTATTTACTACTTAAATATCCTTCTTTTTTTTTATGCAAGTAATAACCGAAAAAACTAATAACATTATATTACAGTAGTTTATTAAATTTAAATTGTAACATATACTAGAACAATATCTGTTAATTGTCGATGATGAGCAGTCACCAGCGTAAAATCAATTATATTACATCGACACTTTTGAAAATAATAAACTTTGCGTCACTGTGCAATTGGAAAGAACTTCGACTCGAAAATTCGAAATCGCTTCGAAAGAGAAAATTTTTACATAGGCTTCAACTTGTAATTTTATAGTTGTATAAACATCTAAATGCTTTCTTTGTTCCTTTTTTTTTTAGTATTAACCAATGGGAAGTGGTATATTTTCTCCTCGATATCATTCATTTTAGAAAGAGATAGTCAGAGAGTGTGAAATAGAGAGAGAGAGAGAGAGAGAGAGAGAAAGAGAGAGAGAGACGAAGACACACACAGATAGGCACATAACAGACAAAGATAGCTAGAGAAAAAACATCGAATTACCATATTCGTTATAACTCTATAATTAGTAAATGGTAAAGAGACACGCTGGACATTGGCACGACGGGTGGCATTTAGATTTAATATAGAATAAAATTTACGTTATTGCGATAACATTTGGTATCGTTTTTGTTGTCGTCGCAAGAACTCGGACCCCGTCTTAATACCCCCTTTAGAGGTTTCTGGGCATTTTAAGATAAAGAATCGATTTTTAGTTTAAACAATGGTTTCTTACGAAAGTTTTGTAAAAAAAAAATAATCAAAAAGACGTTTTAACATGCATTAACGATAATTCAGCGGTATTTCTTTAATCAACAATGATGAATTTCAATCGATAGTGTCAATTCTCAATGTAACTTTGTAACTTTAATGTCGAACAGTTAGTTGGAATAACAATGTATAAATAAGAACAATAACCGCTATCTATATTACTATCGTTAATTTTATAGTAACAATAATACAAGTATTTATTTCTGTCAGTATCGCATCCGAATCAATGAAAAATTCACTAAAAATTCGATTCTATATCACCGTTGCTAATGGAAGAGGTATATATATGCATATATGTGTGTGCGGGTGTGTATGTATGTGTATGTGTGCATGGGTGTGTGAGTATATATATACATATATATGGTGTGTATGTATATATACATATATATATATACATACATACATATATATATATTAAAACAAATATATATGTATATCCATTGTATTGATGTTGATGTTGTTGTTACCTTGATGTTTTTTTATGTGTTGTTTAATCGTTGTTATCTTGCTGTTT